GACCAAGCTATTGTTGAACAGTCGATTGAGCAGATGGTTGCCCAAGTCCAGCAATATGTTGCGGGTTATCGTTTAAAACAAAGAGTTCAGTTCGAGCTTATTCCTGAATCCGCACCATTAAATATTGCAGGATTAGGGAAATTTTCAGGCTTGAAAACCTCCGTATTTTTAGAAGTTGAAGGTGCGGCACATTATTTACCAGCTTATGCAGGCAATTTGGACATTATGACGTCGGCAGCATTGGCAACGGGCGAGAAAATTGCACAAGCGCTTCAACAGTCAACTGGAGTATGAGTATGAATGTTCAAGATAAAAAACTATATATTTCCGATGTGACTTTACGTGATGGGAGTCATGCTGTTCGCCATCAATATTCAATTCAAAACGTTCAGGAAATTGCTAAAGCTTTAGACAATGCAAAAGTAGACAGTATTGAAATTGCCCACGGTGATGGATTACAAGGCTCAAGTTTTAATTATGGTTTTGCTGCACATACCGATTTGGAATGGATTGAGGCCGCTGCCGATGTTTTGACTCATTCTCAAATTGCGACACTGATTTTACCGGGGATCGGCACGATTCACGATCTCAAAGATGCTTACAATGCAGGTGCTCGAGTTGTCCGTGTGGCAACACATTGTACCGAGGCTGATATTTCCAAACAGCACATTGACTATGCTCGTGAATTGGGTATGGATACGGTTGGATTCTTGATGATGAGCCATTTGACCACACCGCAAGCTTTAGCGGAGCAAGGCAAACTAATGGAATCTTATGGTGCTGAATGTATCTATGTTGTCGATTCTGGTGGTGCAATGACCATGCAGGATATCCGTGATCGATTCCGTGCTATGAAAGCTGTATTAAAGCCTGAAACGCAAACAGGTATTCATGCCCATCATAATTTAAGTCTTGGTGTGGCAAATTCAATTGCTGCTGTTGAAGAGGGTTGTGACCGTATTGATGCAAGTCTTGCAGGTATGGGTGCAGGCGCAGGCAATGCGCCATTAGAAGTATTTATTGCTGCGGCTGAGCGTCTCGGTTGGAATCATGGAGCTGACCTGTTTACGCTCATGAATGCTGCCGATGAATTGGTTCGCCCATTGCAAGATCGTCCAGTTCGTGTAGATCGAGAAACTTTGGCTCTGGGCTATGCAGGCGTGTATTCGAGTTTCTTGAGACATGCAGAAATTGCCGCACAACGTTATGGGTTGAGTACCGTTGATATTCTAGTCGAATTGGGGCGCCGTCGTATGGTGGGTGGTCAAGAGGACATGATTGTTGATGTTGCTTTAGACCTATTAAAACAGCAACAGGCAGGATAACAGCATGACTCAAATTAAATTAAATGGCAAAGTGGCGCTGGTGACAGGTGCAAACTCAGGGATTGGAGCAGTCACAGCAAGGGAGCTGGCGTTACAAGGTTATCATGTGTTTTTAGCCTGTCGTGATGCAGACAAAGCACAACAAGTGATTAATGCAATTGATCAACAGAGTCGTGGACAAGCAAAAGCAGAGTTTATCCCTTTAGATTTAGCAAGTCTGGACTCTATTCGTGCTTGCGCTGCACAGTTTTTAGCAAAGAAGTTACCGCTGCATTTATTGATCTGCAATGCGGGGTTGG